TGAAACTTGTGGTGGCTTTCTATGACATTTAAACCAAGCCTCAACCTCTCCGCTTGGCCCGGGCAGCCCTCATGCTCCTCATGTCTCCAGTCACGTGCTGCCTGCCGAGACACCTCCACCACCACCAGCACATGCTCCTCTGTGTTCTTCCCGCCCTCAGAGGCCAATGCCGCCTCGCTCTCCTTTCGGCCCAAACACCACCTCCTGCCATGACAGCGTGCTCCTGGCTGGTGGCTCTGTAAATGCTCTTCGTAGCCCTTGGTTTTTGTTCTTTCTTCCCAGTCTCTTGCTGAATGTTCTGAGTTTGGCCTATCTTTAGATAGAGAAGTCTCAGGACAATTTTCTTGCTACAAAAACAAGGCAAAAAAGGGAAGGTCTGGTGCAGATAGTCTAACTGAACATGGCTTCCCAGGCCGACCACGTGAGGCTGGCTGTCACGGGCCCTCCGCTCAGTGGGAGGGCAGAAGCGGGGGGCACGTAGGCTGCTTTCTCTCTCTGCCTGTCCCAAGCTTGCTTGCCGCAGGAATGAAAAATTAGGCGCTGTAGTTGCTTGGGAAATAAAATTAAATTGCTGTGTGGCAATTCTGAAAATATTAACAACTGGTATTGCATGGGCAATTACCAATCAAAGGAGACCTCACCTACACAAGCAATGTGGCCATGCTGATACAAACCAGCTAGAGATCATTTCTAATTACTGCTCTCTCTTAAATAAGTCCAAAGGGCCACCTCACTTCCTCAAATAACCATGGGATTTACATGTTAAATCATCTATTCTAAGTAGAAAAAAATGCCCTTCTGGAACATGAGACAAGTAGAAAGGGGGCAGAAAGATAATTTCCCAGGTAAGTGGCAAGTGAGTTCTCAGTCCCCTCAGTTTTAAAAAGAGGATGAGTCAAACTCTAAATAAGAAAGTCCTTTCATGGGCCGCAGTGACTGGTGATTTCCCACCACTCCAAAGGTAGCAAATGGGAACAGAATAGAAAATAGACAGACCCCAGGGACCGAATAGAAAGCAGGCAAATTCTGCGCTGACCTCCTTGTCCAGTTGAATGGGTTTGTCTCCTCTCCTCCAAGGAAGGTAGTCCACATCCCAGTGGACTGGGATATTCCTTTTTTCTTTCTCTTTCTACGTCTCTTCCTCCTTTTATACCTTCCTTCCTTGCTTTCTTTACTGAGGTTCTCTTTGACAATGAAAATGATAGATCAAAAGTAGGCTTATGAATGTAAGTAGCAAAGAGATAGTATACTAATTGAAGAAAAAAATCAAATACACAGACAACATGGAATAAAATGAGAAATAAGACTGGTTACTTCCTAAAACCCAGACACGGAGGCAGAAATAAAAATGAAGAAACCTTCAGGAGTCCAGTATCCACGAGCCTCAAACTATGTCATGGAAACTGGAGATACGGTGCAGAGGTGAAGGGCTGACCAAAACGGATCTTTGAACCAGGAAACAGGGCCGGCAGGAAGGAGATGGCAAAGAAAGCCTTAGGAACACACAGAGATCTAGTCAATGGTGTGATCCAGGGGAATCTAAATTTTGAAATTCACATTTTAAATCTAAAGAGACTCCAAAGGGTAGAGCAGAAGAGTGAGCTATGGAGCCTGGGTGACGCAGCGTGACCTCCACTGTAGCACAGGACAGGGCTGTCCCCAAGGGCTGGCTCCCCACTCCCACTCCCAACCTGGACCATGTCCCCTCAGACTTGAAAGGGATGTTAGGGTCATTGAGATGAATCCCTCTCGTTTACAAAGGGGTCACTGAGACTCAGAGAGTTTAAAGGCCACTTCACAGTGCGTAGCTGGCTATTTGCAGATGTAGCTCTGGGTCCCTCAATGAGACCATGAGCAGGAAAGTTAGACTCTCACCTTCTCACATGAAAATATCCCCAATTTTCTTATGCTTTTCCACTTTCTGCTTTTCAATCCTAAACAAACAGTATGAATTCCAGTCTATTTCAAGCCTTCAATTACATTTTGTACAAAGTACATCATAAAATGCCCCAGCCTTTCAAATGGAAGAGTCTCTGGGTGTTCCCCAACATGCCTAAGTCACGATCACTTGTATTTAAGGTGTTTTAGGTGACATTTTAAAATAGAAAATTTCTGAGACGAAAGTAAAAGTATTCTTAAAAAGAAAGATGATGATGGTGATGATAACTTTATAAGTGAGTGCCTTCTGATTTTTAAATAACCGATGGTGAGTCTTTGATTCCCAAAGCACCCAAGAATCCTTAGTTTGGCAAAACAGCTTCCTGACCCCCAAACTGGGACAGGCGATCCGAGCCTTATAACACTGGCTGTGGCCATGATGACCATCATCGGTCTATACTAAATGTATCCAGAGACTCGAATTTGGGTGGTGGGGTGGGATGAGCACCCACTCAGGGCCAGAGACTTCAACAAATAGAAAAAATAAAAACAACACGCTTCGCATCCCTGAGCCCTTCAGTGACCCTAAAATCCTGTTTCTGTTTCCAGGTCACTTCCAACCCACCAGGAAACAACTTCTGCCAAAGGAGCCACCAACCAAACATTTTGCACACTTCCTTACACATGCCTGCTCTGTTCTGTGGCTCAGAACGGTTCATGTTACCTACGGAACATAGTTCCTGCTCCATCTTGGAAGAAAATAGATTCCTGATGATTCACTTTTTGGGGGGATGCCTTCTTAGTTTTTTTGGTTTAAAAAAAAAAGTTCAGAGTCAAATCTCTAGCAATGCTTAGCATGGAAATTGCTTGTCTGCTTCCAGACTGACCTGGTGTAGAGAGAGAAGGAAGAGAGGGCAGCGGGCATGGGCTCTGTGGCTTCAGTCCCTCTAAGACTAGTTGGGTGGCCACCATCACCTGCCGGAGGAGACCAAATAGTGACGACAAGTTCAAAAATGGTTGTCAGGAACAAGAGTAAGGAAGAGTCCACCAGAGTTCATGAAGGAAAGAAGAGCGTGGATTGATGGGCATAGGCTTGGGAGACCCCAGTGCAGAATCATGATGGAGAAGAAGGCCCGTCTCCCAGGAAAGTTGTAAAATCCTGGCCAGAGATCCGCCCCCAAACCAATGTTACTACTTCTGTTGGAAACCAGTTCATGTTCATAACTCTGACTATAGACTGTGACATCATTTTAGTCGGCTGAGTAGGCTAGTGATAGGTTATAAGTAGTTTTTAAACAATCCGATTGGACATACATTATATTCACAATAGCTTTATAGAACTAATTCTACAAAATGTGACGACACAGTCTGACAAGTCACTTCAAGACGGCGCCTACAGGGCGGAAGCCCGACTGTATTGGCTCCCGGGGACTGGACAGAGGTGGAAGCTCATTTTGCCTACGTCGTGATTGGAACACTTAGTGGACGTGTGTTTTCATGGTGATTCCATTGCTTGCCTCTGATCTGATTTGCACTAACATACCAGGTACCACAGGGTCATGGTCTAAAGAATTAATGGAATAGATATTATGGGACTTTGGGGAATATTTTGGTAAGTTTGGTTTCTTCAGGTGTCCACAGTTTACATTTTTAAGAAAATAAAAAGGACTGTCACATCCATGCTTCTCCAGAGACCCTGATGACTGTATCGGAGATTAATAATTTTGCACTTAAAAGACTTGGAACAGAACAGTTGCCGGGACGACCGTACACTGAGCGTGCGAGGGACAGCCGCGCTCTCAGACGCAGTCATCGGGTCTGGTGGCGGGAAAATGTTCCCACAGGGTGCGGTGGCCGATACATCTGATTTCATTGCTGGTAATTTTCAAAGGCCTTTAATAACAGTCTGTTTTAAGTGCATTCCTTACTTTCCTTTTGTTATTCATTTTTATATTGTTGTGGCAAGTTTGTGGGTTTTGTCTCAGTGACTTAAAGAAAGCCAGAAAAGCTAGACTTTGGGCAAAAGTCATCTCATTAATTATAAACATTTTCTGGCTTTTAAACAAAAATTCAGTGAAAAGTATGAGTGTATTATAATATCCTGTTTATTTTATTTTATTTTTTTATCCTCACGAGAATATTTTTCCATTGATTTTTTGAAAGTGGAAAGGAGGGAGGGAGGGAGAGGGAGAGAGAAAAATCGATCTGAGAGAGACACATCGATTGGCTGCCACCCACACAACCCCGACCGGACCTGGAATCTAACCTGGAACCCAGGTAAGAGCCCTCGTCCTGAACCACACTCTCCACCCTTCAGTAGGTCTGAAGGTCTATGCTCTAACCACTGAGCCAAACAGGCCAGGGCATCATATCCTGTTGTTAAGCAAAACTATTCATTAGTGTTTACAAACTTTCAGGCTTAAAACCTCTGAGACTTGGGGCATGGGGTAAGCCCACCAGACCCTTTCACACTTGAAGTGACTTGCATGAGTGGCTCGGAGACATGAAATGAGAAGCAAACAGCATGGAGGAGTCCCCACCGTCTACACAATGAGCAGAGCCGAGTCTCCTTTGCAGCTGCTCCTCCACTCGGCATCCCGGCGTGCTCCCAGCTCTCCTGGTGGTGGTAGCGGCTGGTCAGCCTGACCTGGCAGTTGTAGAAAAGCTGCAAAAAGGTCTTCCCATGAAGTATATGAACAAAGGGATAAGAAATACAGAATGAAAACTAAAACTACAAAAATATGACTTTCAACTGTGAAAATAAATACATTTCCATTTATTAAGAGCTGGTGTCCATGCAGCCAAAATACACACTCACCCAGGAAAGTCACCTGCCCCCTTGTGTCTTCTTTTTTGAATTTACTAAAATACATGTTTACATCATTGAACCATTTAATTTTTTTTTAAATAATCCATTTCCTTTTGTTACAATTAATTGTGATGGTGACCATCATTCTCCTCAAAGAAAAAGAGAGAAAGAAGGGAAATACACATTAAGGAGTCTGGCCACATATTCATTTTGATTTTGCATTGTTTCGATATAGGGAAGATATTTGACAATGAAAAAAAAGAAAAATATATATTTTCTTTCTAATAAATAAAAATAATTTAAAATGCTAGAGGCTATACATGACTATTTTAGTATGTTCATTTATAAATGAAGTCATTTTCTTTTCCAAAATACATGGTAGCAATATTCAAGGCAGACAAAGAGAAAGATCTGTCTACTTTATTTTTCTTGCAAGCCTTGCTTATCCTAACGTTCCACCAGTGAGTCCGCATGTAAGAGGGAAAAAAGTCACATCACCATTGATGAAGTTTGTCAGGCTTTACAAAAATAGTTCTGGTCTCCTGGGAGTCAACATTCATCTTCAACTTCTCTGATTGGTGGAATCAAGCTGCTTGTGGATTTATACTGGTTGATCTGGTTAGCCATGTGGGTACTCATGGGCTTGATTTGAATGTTTCTGGGATAGGCATTATCCGGTTCATCTGTAAACCATTTCTTTTCTGCTAAAGGGCAAAATGGATAGAGAAGAAGAAGGAGAAACGAGAAGCTTAATTAGTCCTAGGGTAAAGCCTTTGGAAAGTTCATTGAAAAATGCAAAAAGGTAACAGATAGAAGCTGACAGTGAGTCATTGCTAAGAGAGACAGTGCAATGTAGGGAGAACCCAGAACCTGAAACATACCTGTTACCAGAGCAAGTGATGACCAATGGGCCATGAGGACCTGAGGCTCCAGGGGTGGACCTCGGGGAATAAAGAGAGGTTGGAAACAGACTCTGGCAGTGTTCTCTGGGGCTCCTTCAGTGGCCTGAAAAGCTTTGGTGGGAAGAAGATGCTAAATATATCAAATATTGGGTATAGACATTGTACCCGAGGAAAGATTTGTGTGTCTCTGTTGCCCAGGGAGTGATCTAGAATCTTTTGCAGGGTCTCCTTCTCCCAGCCTTTACTTAGCTTCACTTATAAAAAGCACACTTCGAATTATATCTCACTATTCCATTCTTCTATTTCTTTAGAAGCCAGTTTTAAGGGTCTTAAATTAAACCCACAGCTGTTGCCAGCCAACGAGATTAAAAAGCAGAAGAGCAACCCATGTTTTCAGAGAATTTTGAAATGGCTTTTATTTCCAGAAAGGAAACTCTGTGTTGGTATAAAGTTATGAGAAGAATTCCTAGTGGCACTCTCTTAATTGGCTATAATAACCTAAACTGTCGATAAGGGAGCTTGAAGATGCCTCGGCATTTCATTTCCACCCCACATGCAGAGCCGGCTGGGAAAGTGCTGAGTCAGAGCCCCGGCTGGTGAGAAGGGGATGGCCGGTCCTCTTGGCGATTCAGTGCTGTTTCTTAGGACCAAGCCTCCATCCCGCCTCTTTCTAGGATGGAAAGTTTCTGGAGAAGAGGCCATGTGTATAGACAGGAAGGGACTGGGCGAATAGGACATTCTAACTTGGGAATCATATGCCTCATGTCAGTGACTTAGGAAAAGGGAAGCAAAAGGGGAACGGTTTCAAGCACACCCCTTGCTGTAGGGACAGTGACCGCTCCAGCATCCTTTTCTGCCCATCAGAACAATTCATCACCGCCTGCTCACCTAGCATGACAGAGACGTGTGTGTCCCTGTTTGGCTAGTGATTTCTAAATTCAGTGTCTGTGTTTAGCTCATGACCACTCGGCTTGTTTGTCCTTGGGCTAGACTTTCTCTGGCCGTCTGGAACCCTGAGCCCTTGACGTCAGCACTAAGCCTGGGGTTGGGGTGAGCCATGGTGAAAGCTCACTCACTACCCTTTGTGCAGCAGCTCGGTCCACCCCCCAGAAAACTTCCAGCCTCTTGGGTCGTTCTCCGCCTCCTCTCCTGCTCTGGCGCTCTCACCTATTGTAATGAAGTTCACTTTGATTGGAGCAGATTGGACGATAGGAATTCATAATGCTACATCTTCACAGTGAAGCTAACTGATTAAGTGCTTTAAATTATTCCCCCTGACAGAATGATAAAGTTACAATCTGTTCAGAGATGATCTACAGCTTGCCAGACTCCTACAGCTCCTTTCTACATTCATTTATCTTTTTGTCAAGCAGAGTTTTTTTTTTTCTTTCTTTTTTTTTTCCCTGAGCTTCAATTCCATAGATCTTTTAAAGTCATCAGCACATCTGAATTATTAATGAGGCTTCGAGGCAAGGTTCCTGATGGGCTGGTTAGAAAAGGTTGCACAGAACTGGGACTGTGTACACATCAAAATAATTTCAGCTCCATTTAAAAAACCATTTAGTTCAGGTGTGACATGGATGAACCATTATGCATTTGTGGAAACCAATTTTTTGTGATCTACGATTAAACTAACCTTTCAGAGGAGAGTAAAGTATGATGGTTATCATGTTTAAAAGCATTGCCAGGCCACCGAAACAATTTCAAACTATGACTTTTTCCAGCGGTTTACGTGGAAAGACGGGTTTCAGAAGCAGGGTCTGCCTGTGCGGCCCGTGACTGGGGTCTCGCCACCATGTGGACGGATTCTGCACAGGGACCCGTGCTGGGTTGCTCGTGCCAGGTTGGAAGCGAGAGTGAACTCCACTTATGAAAACGACTAGGGCTTTGGGTGAAGGACCTAAGACAGCAGCAATTTGCTGAAATTTTTACAACGGCTGCCGACAATAATTGCTCAGAATTTAGTCTTTACAGTTCAATTCAAAGTTGGCATTTTGACCTTTCAAGGCAGAGAATATCAATTTCCTTCTGCTGTCTGTAAGAAAGAGAGAATTATTTCCCCATGTAAGCTTCTTTTGCTTCCCTTTTAAAGTTCTTGCTATAAGAAAATTCTAAGCTGAGTAGCCCCTGTATTTTGACCACCGGGCTTCGACACAAGGACTTACGTTAAAGCCCATCCTGGTAACAAGCTGGGGTTTTCATCGGGGCTGAGAGACAGGCTTTTCAATTGGGCGGCTTGTAAGATGTAAGTAGAAGTGTTGGAGACTTGGTTAGATGGGACGTTGAGAAAGTAGAAACATGAATGCTCTGAGCATCGTACTAAAATGTCTGGGGGCAAAGGTGTTTTAGGGAGAGATTCTCCCCAAGGGCTCAGGGGCACACCAGAGCTTAATGATCGCCAGTCTTTCTGCTACAGTGGAGAGTGTTTCAAGTATGACAATGACACTTTGGTTATTGAATCTTGCCTTCCAAAAAAAAAGTGTGCCAATGGGTGGCTATAAAATCCGCCATAAGGAAGGGCGCTCAGGGAAGGAATTCAAATGAGTGCTGAAGTAGGGGTCTAGGATAAATTCAAATCTGAGTCTCTCTCCTCTCCTTGCCTCACCCCATATGGCAGAAAGATTTCTGGGAAATTTAGTTCATCCCTAAGCTGAGAAGGGCTATAGGTCTGATTGTGAAAAACAGCCCCATTTGTGAATAAGCTCTTGCGGATGACATGCATGATGTCATCACGGTGAGCGTCCGTGTGACCTGCGGAGTTAGGAAGGCGTGGCACTGCACACAGTCTGTGGCAGGTGGGCTGGTAGCACAAGATAAGACCTGGGAGATAACTGCAGAGAGATGCTGGAGAAAAACCGACACTGCTGTTGGCAGGTGCCACCGATCAAGACCAGCCGTGCCATGACGTGTCCGGCGTGGACAAGCAATGAGGTGCAAGCCAAGGAGATGGTGTGGGGCGGTCAGTTAAGCTCCGATGGACGTGGCGCCCTCCCATACTAGTTGCGATGCTCTGAGCAGGTCACTGCAAAATGTATCTTAGCTTTAGTGTCTCTTCTGTAAAATGGGGCTGATGATAAGAGTTTCCTAATGTTGTGGTTTGAATTAAAGCGGCTGATGTTCATGAATCTCTTACTACAGGTCCAAATACGTAAGTCAACGTAAACTGTTACGACTATTCGTAATATTAGCAAGCAGGCATTATACCATAGTGGCAAAATGTATAAACCAGTTTTAAATTCCATTCTGCCACTTCCAGGCTAGGTGACTTTAAACAAATCCACCCCTCCGATTCTGCATCCTTCCTACGAAGATACCAACAGTATCCACATCTGAGGTTGTCTTAAGGACTTGAATGAGTCCTGCGTGGGAAGTACTTAGAAGAGTGTCTGGCCCTGGTCATCACTGGGGTGTTAGCTTTTAGTATAAGCTTAGCAACAATGCAAGTACTCTCAGTCCTGAGAGACTCTACGCAAGGATGGGCAGTACCTTTCAGTATGATTGCAAATGAGCTGGGAGTAGAGAACAGAGGTGTGTAAGTTGGAGTTGGGGGGTGATGACCTGGATGGGGACTGTGGCCATAGAGATGACACAGGCGGATTTCGTTGGGTAGTCTTCTTTGGAAGGTGAGGAGCAGGGGTGACCTGGTGTCCTGCCTAGGGAGGTCAGGGCTGCTACCCTCCCGTGGTACCTGGGTCTCTGAAACACGCTTACGCCCGACAAGCGCTCTACCCCACCTGCAACCCGTCTCCATCGCCACTGCTCCCTTTATCACTGAGACTGAAGGTCCAGAATAAGGTCTGCATTTCCTCCAGCCACAAACTATCCCAGAATATCAGGCTATGGTGGGAAAGGTCCCAGATCTGGGCTGACGTTACTACTGGGGAGCCAGAAGCAGAGAGCAGGCTGCACCGTGGCAGGGAGTCTCTGCTGGCTCCATGGTTGTCAGTGCTGTGGGATTTAGCCTTTGCACATAACTGCTCCCCGGAGGAGGCTGCATCAGCGGGGAGACGATGACACAGCAAAGGCATCTGGAATAATTGGCCCTCTTCTCCCTGTACTGCAAGCCGAGGTTGAGAGCGAAAGGGATTGAAAGAAAAAAAGATCCCATTTGGATGGAGGTGACGGCTGCGGACAGGAAGGCTAACAAGGAGCTCCGCCTTCAAAGGGAACGCAGTGTGCTTCCCAGCTCCCGTTTCTGAGCGGCAGTGTGGCGCCCCTGCCCTCGGACCCTCAGGCTCCCAGGGCCCCCCACGCACTGCGTCCTTTCCTCTCCTCGGGCAAAGTGTGGCTATTTTATAGAAATCAAAGTCACTAGCACTGCAACCAGAGCTGTTTTAGTTTATGAAAATTGTCTCTCTCCTTTGCAGTGGTCCACTCTGACTGCATGTGCCTCCTCTTACTGAGACTAACGCTGCCCTGGGCTGCAGGGCAAACTGCCCCCTCCTGCCCCCACTGCCTGGAGGGAGGAATTCGCCCTCGTCCCTTTCAGGTGGCAGGTGGCAGAGATAATCCCTCTCACTTCCCGGGAAATGAATGTGCACCCTCCTGGTGGCAGACAGGCAACCAGGTTAGTGACAGGTGCCCACAGCTACTTCTCTGTCATGCTGTGACAGAGCAGGGACGGGCTGAGAGGCTCACTGAGACATCGGCTGTGCCTGTCTTGGCTTCCACAGGCCCAGAGTTTCCATGCTCTCCTCTTTCTCCTGCAGCAGCCTGTTGCTATAGGAACAGGGCAGGTTGATTTAATTGTCTCTATTGGGATGCAGACACCTTTAGGCTTTTCCCATGCTGAAGAAGAGCCAGTCAGAAGGTTTTTCTGGTCACCTGGGATCTTGACAATGCTGGCAGAAGGCATGGTCTGTCTCGGTGAGCTTACAGGACTGTCCCCTTTCTCAGAATCTGTGCACCCAGCTGGAGAAGGCGCCAGCCATGCAGCAGCACCGTGAAGACCCTCAGGCATTTGTGGTATCATTTTAAGATTAGCCAAGGGGGTCAAGAAGATTTATAAAATAGTAAAAGATATAAAAATATTTAAGGTCAATTTATGTACTGAGCATCTATTGTGAGTTAAGTTCTGGGTCACAACCTTTAGTATTTACAACAGAACTTGAAACTTTTCCCAACTGTGGGATAAATCTCAATATACATAGAGGGGTCCAGCTTTCTCTTTAGCCATTTGAACTGGCTTCGGGGAAGACCCTGAGCAGCAGTCATTAGGGATGTTGATGAGGAGACCTCCTGTCTACCCACCTCCTTTTAAGGTTTAACCCTTTCGAAGCCAAAAGCAAACTGGACTGAATGGCTTGCAAATTGCTTCTCTTCTAGAATGGGGCAGAAAATTCAGTTTCTAGCTGCTGTTCTTTTTAAATGCACAAATGTTCTCTTCAGATAACTCTTTCACTTTCTATCCTTACCTACTTGCTTCTCTTATTGGTGGAGGGGGAGAGCAGAGACACAGAACGTGCATACCCCTCCCTAGGGGAGCCTGAAAGAGGAGGGGCAGTTTGGGGTCACACAGAAACAATGGAAGATTTTTGTTCTACTGAGGAAAGTAGAATAGAGTAATTTTGGCTAATAAAATAGAATAATACTACCTTTTTCATCATTGACTATATCATTACCCAAGTATAGTCAACTCTTAATCGTGTGGCTGAAGTCCAGGAAAATCCCAAAATGTCATCTCATGTCACAGTCTGGTCCCACTCCGTCCCCATCACAATATCATGTCACCAGAGCTGCTCACAGATTGCATATCTAACGCGTTTTGGATTTACTTCTCTCTATCTGCCCAATCTCTGGTTGGGATTGAACAAACGTCTGAAAGGCACGGGGCAGGAGAGACTGGATCCTTAGCCCCAGAGAACCGGGTGTGGGCTACTGAGCTGCTGCGCACAGCTGAACAGTTTTAATTTGGGGTCACACTGATCAAACATAAAGGAGACCAATGCCTTTGCCGTTAATGACCCTCCTGGTTTCAATCAAAAGGAGGGTGACATATTAACCAAGAAGCAGGTTTGCCAAATGGAATAGCTGCAAATATTTCCCAGAGAAGTGTATCACCTGGCATCATCACGTGACTTAGTAGGTCTTGTCAAGATAAACACAGACATGTGGACAGACTAATGGGGGACTGGGTGGGGTGGTGGTAATGGGGGGAGGGAAGTGGAGGAAAAGCTGGGTTTCTTGATGGGAAAATGCTTTTGAACTTGGAGCAAGGTACCAAGGTGGGCAGGGAGGCCACGTGCAGATTTAAAGGCAAGCCAGATGGAGAGAAGTTTCCCCAAATTACCCAGCCCCAACCCCAGAACACCAAAACAAACTCGAAAGAATCTAGCAGTAGCAGCAGCACAGCCGCATTGCGCTGAGCAATTTAGAAAGTGGAGGAAGGAGGAGGAGGAAGGGGGAAGGAGGGGAAATGGGAGGGGGAAAAGCAAAACAAAACAAATAAAACCACAAACAGAACAACATAAATAAAATAAACAAACCAATAACAGAATAAAATTTGTAACTCCTTTTTTTTTTAATTTCACGAAAGTTTTCACAAGGACAACGTTATAGAAGAAAACCCCAGCAGTGGCTAGGTCATGCAGAACCATTAATTGTCATACCTTGGCCCATTCTATTCATCCTTGTTGCACTTTAGAGAGAGAAGTAAGCTATGTGAGTTTACAATGCTTTTAAACTGTCATATTTCCTGTTGAGCACTTTAACTGGCACATTCTTATAGTTATAAATGTTCTGAGGGCATAACTTTATAACCTCCTTTGCAAAGAATGCATGAAGAGTTCTTCATGATCCAAAACTAGAGGGCGTGTGTGTGTGTGTGTGTGTGTGTGTATACACATAAATGTGTATAGAGATATTTATATAGTTATATATAAAAAGATAGGTAGTTATACATAATATATAAATCAATATCTGGGGACAAAAATAATTTGAAAAAAAATTTCCACTCATAGGGCTTTTTAATATACATGTGTACAATGATCCCCCACCCTTTACTGGTCTGAACACTGCACAGCCCTGTCTTTGGTATGGGGGTCCAGGTTCTGACTGAGCCTCACCATTTTGTCAGTAAAAGTGCTTGTCAATTCACACAGCAAGCAAATCTCCAAAACTGTCATGCTTGGGGGGACAGGGGATCCAAAATCTAAACCCAAACCGTTCACCATAAAAACCCCTTTTTAGAGATGGTACAGCTGTGACATGTTTCTCCTCCTCTCCACCCCTACTCTGTTGGATGGAATTTTTTTAAAGTAAACATTTCAAATATGTCTATACCAGCCCAGGGCTAGCCCATCTACAGAAGACGTTGGTTAAGGTGGGGTGGGCCGATGCATAACTACTGCGCTGCCTAAAGCATGATTTGCATGCATAAAACATCTGAAAACTGTATATTGATAAAAGGGTATTTTTCTACCTTTCCTCTCATGCTTACTAACTGATAAAAAGAAAGAAAGAAAACAAAAGAAAAAATAATTATAGCAAAACGTGTTTGGCTCACTGTTGTACTCTCCTCCTCCCGTCTCAAACTGGCAAGTTCTCTGCCATTGTCCTTTACCCGCCTGCGTGCATTGGCTTCGCTAAGAAATCGATGAGGAGGATTTTCCCACCGGCCTTCTGCTTTGGGACAGCCAGCGTCACACAGCTGTTTCAGCAGTTTAAGGTGGTAGCTGGCTTTTGTCTTTGTTGAGTCAACTGTGGCTTGATCCTCCTACATTCTGATTTATTTAGCATGTTGGCTCCTAGAAAACAATGATCTTCTGCTGGCTTTATCTACCTCTCAGGTACCATGGCCCCAGCCCTTGCTCCTACCTGGCTGGGGGGCCCTAGCTAATCAAACAGAGGGGAGTAAAAAGGTCCCCTGAGAATGTGTGGAAAAATACTTGCTCTTTCCGGAGCATTATTTATTCTGTACATAAGGTAAGTAATTCACCTTTTAAAAGATGTAAAAGTCCCAGGAAGGCAGTTTTTAATGACTTACATCTGATATTTATGATACATATGGCTTTTCATCCCAAATGTCAAAAGTGAAAGAAAAAAAAATAGCTATTCATATGGCAGCGTAAGGAGACAGAATAACAATTTAATATGCAATCAAACCTCTTTGCACTTAAATTAAATGACTAGAATTTGATACATCCACGAATGGAATACTATTCTTTCCTACACAGTAAGGGCAGAAATGTTCATCTGAACTCCCAAAGGAAGTCAGTCTGGGACTAAAGCCCTTGGTTAGGAGCTCAGAAACCTCGGATGTTCTCTTACAACAAGCAGGTGCTTCATCATCATCTACACAAAAGGCAAAAGCTTTTCAAAAGCTTCTCCATCCTTCCACCCAGAAAATGGAAACATTGTATTGTTTTTGTTCCTTTGTGGTTGCTCGTTTAAAATAAACATGTGTGTATATATGACTGCATATATATATATATGTGTATATATATATATATATATATATGAAAGAAAAGAAGGAAATAAGAACAAAATCAAAACCCAAAGCACCCTGTTAATCCTGATAAATCAGCATGAACTTTTCTTCTACATCCACTAAATTAACTAGGTTCCCTTTCTCTGCCTAAGTGACACGGATCGCGAGCGCTCTGCTATCTGCTACCCGTTCCGGCAGCAACGAGCTATTTACGTCTGGAGCGTGCCTTTGGGTTACCTTCCCCCTAGAATCATAAATAACTTTTGGTCCTTCTGCTTAGTTGCTGTTGTGCTCAAGGGTTTTATGGTGGTGAAATAAAAATGACAACCACATGCACACTATCATACATATGCAAATATGTGTAAAAAAGGGGGGGCTACAGGGGAAATGGGGAAGTTACTGTTGGAAACACCCACTGGGGAAATGAGTGGCAGATACAGTTTCACACACGGTGGCAGTGGATACACATATCAGAGCCGCTCTTCCTGCACGTACTTCTGTTTGTCTCGGGACTCCCGGGACTTGGGCCGGTTCGGTCGGTTTGCCGTGGACGGGATGGAGTGGACGGAGGAGCTCTTCTTGCTGGAGGACTGGGACGAGTGGGAGGAATGGGAGAGGCTGGCCCGGGACTGGCCGGCGTTGTGGTCAAACTGCATTAAGCAGAAGATCAGGTCCGTCGGCACGAGCTCAAACTCGTACGGGGGGTTGGTGATGACGTACCTGGCCGGGGACAAAGAGGTCACAGAATGAGTATGACTGAGTAGAGATTTCACCTGTGTCTGAATCAAGAGGAACTGCCTGGTTCCCGGGTCTATCAGAGCATCTGGAAGGTGAATTATAGCTGGCCCAAGGCCTTAAAAATTATCTTCCAAGTTGAACTAAATCTTCCTCTGTGTAGGTGGACAGAAACCAGCCAGGAGACCCGACATCCCGAGATGCCGAATCAGTGCCGCTAACAGGAAAAGCCAACTGTGCTGCCTATGATCTGCGTGCCCCTGTCGACACAAGGTCAAGCTTATGTCTGACCCTGAGCAGCCCAAGAGCAGCCAGGAGGTCGCATGGGCTGTACTGCGTCTTCCATTCTGGAATGCTCTGACAGTCTAAGGCACACGTCATGGAATCTCTGCTTACCATAATCTGGCATCTCCTTAGTCCTTCCTCACTCTTTACCTTTTACAAATCAACTTGGCGGGGATTGTACTAGATGGAAGAACATGAAACACCTCTTGCCCATGTCAGCCCTGCTGTGACTGTGCTCCTCGACTTGATCAGACTTTCTCTGGTCCGCACCAGACAGACTTCAGAACACAAATCACTGCTTCATTGACAGCAGTGGATCTCAAAGTGTGGTCCTCAGGCCAGAGATATCCGCATCACCCAAGAACGTCTTAAAAATGCAAATTATTATTATTTTTTTACTTTTAGTTAGATTTATTATAACACCCTTTTTTCTTTTTATTTATGTGAATTGTACATTGTCTTTTAAAATTATCTTTATTGTTGAAAGTATTACTGACGTCCACCTTCTACCCCCTCATCCTTGGTCCCACCCCCACCCCAGGCCTTCACCCCACTATTGTCTCTGTCCATGGGTTATGCATACTGCAAATTCTTAAGCAACCCCACCGGAAACCTACTGAACCAGACACTCTGGGCGTGAGGTCCACCAATTTGTGTTTTAACAAGCTTTGCATGTGATTCTCATGCTCACAAAACCTTGGGAACCCACTGGCCTACAGCAATCTCTCAGCTCTGGCTACACACTGTCATCCCTGGGCAGTAAATAGTTTTATTTTCATTCCAGACAGGTTAAGTCAGACTAATGAGAGGTGTGTTTTTAAAGCACTCCCAGGGATTCTAATATGCAAGCGGGGCTGGGAAACACTCAACTCTATAGACTGTTCACCTGGGGCATAGGTACACATACTGACTTGGATCATTCTAGGATGTACTTTTAATTTGGGGCTGTTATAAATGCATATTAGAAAAATATAACTAGCACACATAAAGTGTTATTTTTTTTCTGCTAAAGGTGATAATATACAATTTTCTTAAATATATAAAGGTGGATGAGTCAGTTAAAAATATATTAAGTAAAAATATAAGCATCTAAGAGATGGCAAAGGATTCATTTATCTTAAATACCAGCAATATGAAATATCTCTATATTAGCTACCAACAGAGTTGTCCCCATAGCTGCAGTTTGGAGGAGATGCTTCTATTCAAACATTTGTAGTTAGGTGATAGAACTATCCTATAAAACTTGAATTCCTCCTACAATGTCTTTACATCTGCTATTAGCAATTAAAGAATAAAAGCTTCCCATATCCTTCACACTCGGTGTTGGATTGAACGTGAGCAGAGGGATTTGCTTGCTGAGAGCATGTTTACAGGCCTCTGCTTGTGTGGGGGTCAGGAAGGTCATTTATGTCTCTGCATTTCGGTGGGAGAACAGAGTGGAAATATACTCACCTCTTTGTGCACTGGCTGGGGGCACTGAGGTGGGCATCTCTCAGCCGGTAAATTCCAAAACAAAGCATATTATACGTTTTCAGAGCTTTGCAGAACAGATCACCATAACAACCACCATCCTGGGAGACAACAAGAGAACAGAGAGAAACATCATTTTTATTGGCTCGGAAGTAGAGGTCCAGGGGCAAATGGGCTTTACGCGAAGGTTTGTTTTGGTGTCTCCTGAGTTGGAGGGTTTGTGTCAAGGGACTGGCTGAAAGAGCCAACGTGGTTAACACCCCACACCCACTCTTGGTGATGTTTCTGGATTCAGGTAAGAATGAGTTTTCCCTTGGTTCTCTCTCTCTTTCTCTAAGGATACGGCACCTCTCCCTCACTTTGAGGGTGTAAAGCTTGAAGGTCTCAGACGACGTTCAGCTGGGGAGGAGAAACCAGCTCTGCAAAATGGTGATTATGTTTAGCCCCAGCTTGACTGCATCACTGTGATCTGACCGTGTTGTCAAAACCACTCAAGTGATAATTGAAATCACTGTGAGAAGAAAAGACCCCACCAGGTACTATGGTGACAGACTCTTTCAGGTAAGGACTGTGTGAAAAGCACAATTTACAGACCTCAGAGATGGCAAGAGTGGAAGAGAAAATGTTTCTCTGGGAGCTGGAGGTCTGCAAGTTGAATAACTGGAATTAACAGCTCTAATCAGTTCACAACCCCCTTCCAAGGGCCTGGAGCCTGATGTGGAAGGTGAAGGCAAATTCAGCCCTTGGAAATGCTGGCTTCAGCAGCCAGGTGGCTCAGGTAGGCGCTATTATTATAGGAAGGGCACTGAAGAGTGACTACTGGAAATAAAGTGACTGCATTTGTCCTTCCTGTCATTGGGATTTCTATATGGGCATCATGTCAGAGAGCACACACATAACAGAGCCAAAATTTACCATTCTATAAAGCCTCGATCCTTTAAAAATATATCAGTAAGTAGATGGTAGTTAAAAGAGCCACTAGCTATGGAAGCTCCCTTTCACAAAAGCCCAGTCTAACATAGGTCCCTACCCATAACCCAACTAAAATATGGGGCAAGTCGGTATCAGGGTTTCAGAAGAAACAGAGAAAGTGACCCTTTCCTTGAGTGGTACTATTGTTTGTGTGATAAGTTTATTAGTTCCCAAGACTTGTGGTTCCACCCCTTGAACGCACCCCCGGAGCAAGGCTGGGAATAGGGTCAAGACTGCATACTTCTGCCGAAGTCCCTGAACCAGGCTAGTGCTTGGAACCCAAAGGGAGACACTGGCCACCTCTGCGGCACAGAGGGCATGGAGGACATGACTCCAGCCCTCAGAAAGGAGAAGACCTGGGTCTGGAAGTAGAGACATTCAAGGGTCCACATGAGATGCTATTTGGCCAGCAATGGTGTTTTGAAAACCACCAGGGCCTGAGTCCTATCCAGACACAAAAACTCAGAAACCTGGGGGCCGGGCATGGACATCAGTGGTTTGCAAGAGCTCCTCACGGGCTATTCATGTGCAGTTGGGGTTCAGTAGCCCTGAGCTATGCTAAGGTTCAGTAGCAAGTGTTCCCAGACTTGACTGCATGTTGGAATCACCTGCTGTCTTCTGTCTCTTGGTAGAAGACACCCAAGGGGAGTGATGAGCCACAGGCTCTGAAGCCAGGGTTCCTGATGCAAATCCCTGGTAGTCTTCAGTCTCTCTGAGCCTCCGTTTCCTTACAGTGTCTGAAAATAGAACCTATATCTAAGGGTTGCCATGAGGGTCAAAATGAATGATTACAGCCCTGCCCAGTGGCTCAGCGGTTCGAGGGTCAGCCCATGCACCAAGGGTCACAAACTTGATTCCCAGTCAAGGGCACATACCTAGGTTGCAGGTTCGACCCCTGGCCTGGTCAGGGTGTGTGCAGGAGTCAACCAATTGATGTGTTTCTCTCACATCGATGTTTCTCTCTCTTTCTCTCTCTCACCCTCCCTCCATTCCACTCTCTCTAAAAATCAATGAAAAAAATATCCTCAAATAAGGATTAACAACAACCGGAAAAATTGACTACATGTAAAGCACAGTGCCTGATATTCAGTAAATCATAACATTACTTCCATGGTTGTTTCTTCAGAAGGTAGAAAAAACAGCCCTGGCCGGTTTGGCTCAGCGGTTGGAGTGTCGGCCTGCGGTCTGGAGAGATCCGGGTTCAGTTCCCGCTAAGGGCACGTACCTCGGTTGCAGTTTGTCCCTGGCTCTGGTTGGTCATGCGGGTGGCAGCCACTCGATGTGTTCCTTTCACATCGATGTTTCTCTCTCTCTCTGTTCCTCTCTCTCCCTCCCACTCTACCTGAACAAAAAATGGAAAAATGTCCTCGGGTGAGGATAAAAAAAAACAAAAACAAACAGAAGGTAGAAAAAACAGATGCTGAGCTTGTCACTGCCTGGCACCCAGCTCATTCGGACCAAACCGTTAGCAAACAGCAGTCTCGGGGGTCTGCGCCACACTCACCCCCAGGTCCGCAAAGGGCCCGTCCAGCAGCGCTAGCTGGGCCACGCGGCAGCGGTCCCTGTTGGCCAGCGTCTGCGGGGTGCTGTAGCCCCCTCGAAGAGCGTTCTCCTCAGCAATCAGAGCCTCGAGCTCGGGCGTGGCTCCTCCGGTCACCAGGGTCCGTATCAGGGTAAGGATATTGTCATTGAAGTACGTCTGTAGGCGACAGAGAGAGATGGGGTAAGTCCTTTAGGCACACACCCTAAAATCATGCTGAGCGGCATCCAAATTACAACTTTTCTTGGTATTTCGTTTAAAGTTTTGGCCTGTCTCTTCAAATAACTTCCTGTGGGAAGTAGGAAGACAGCAGCCTCCCATTATTCCATTATCCTCTCTCCTACTTGGTTCTACCACAAGAGCCTGCCTTTTAAAAACCAATTCAGAGGCTTTTTATTAAAGGGCTAAAGTCTGAATGGTTGGTGTGTACCATAACTGATGTTACTAGGGCTGTACACACTATGTACACGTGTAATAGAACGCAGCCTGCCCAGGCTGCTAACCGAAGCAGGGCTGCCCTGAGGCCCTGATACCCATGAGCCTAGAAGCCTCCTTCCCCAAAAGTGGCCAAACTTATGTGTGGATTGGCCCTGGCCAGGTAGCTTAGTTGGTTAGAGCATTGTCCCAACATGCAAGGTTTCAGGTTCGATCTCTGGTCGAGGCACATACAAGAAACAACCAATGAATGCATAAATGGATGGGACAACAAATCGATGTTTCTCTCTCTCAAATCAATTAAAAGCTCAAAAAAGCTGTGTTGGAAGGAGGTACCAAGGGCATCATTAAGGCCACACAAGCAATAACTTTTCACATGCTCAGATGCAGCCGAACTCAGAAGTCAATTAAATATGCCAGAGAAATGTACAATGAGGTGCCAGTCCTGCAGGGTGCACTTCAGGTTTGTTTTTACATAACCTCAGGAGTCGGAGGCAAACACGGCTTATTAGAGAAGCTTCCTCTCCGTGTACATTTGTCTAACATCTGACACATAACAGGTCTGTCAAGAGTAAAACAATGGGAGTTTTAAAAAATTAATAGGATGTCAAATAAAAGAGCTCACAAAGACATTTGTCACCCAGCCTAATTCGAGAAAACCTCAGTTAGGGGTCTGCATTCCATTATGGCATATAAGAAGAAATCAAATAGGCTAAATAAAATCCACCCGAATACTGCCTGTGACAGGAGGAGGGACAGACCTCTGGAGCAGGTCGGGAAAGACCACTGCGTTTTGACTTCAGTGGTTTCTTAGACAGTTTACCTGGCTACACATAGTGGGGACCAGGTCAGGTACAGGTAGGTTCTCGCCTGCTGGCATCGCTAGTTCTGTGTCTTGGGGAAGTGGCCTAATCATTCTGGCTTTGCTTTCCTCGTCCGTTAAAAAGCACAGTCATTAAGATCAAGTTTATATGCAAAGAATTCCATGAGGACTTCCGAGTTTAGATGAGAGCTAGTGGGGCTGAGTTCATTTTCCTCACTGAAATGTTCACAAAATACAAGTGATACAAAATCCCAAGAGTAAAGGAAAATAGGAGTGTTATTCAGAACCAGTCAGACCACAAGGAGAATGTATCCTCTATCAAGCTCAGCTGTGAGGGGCAGAGGCCGACAAAGACACAATGTTACTGGCATGTGTGTGTGTGTGTGTGTGTGTGTGTGTGTGTGTATGTAATCGTATATACCTATATCTATTATCTGACTGATAGGTAGGTAGATAGGTGGATGGATGGATGGATGGATGGATGGATGGACAAACAGATGGATGGACGGACAGATGGACAGATGTAGAGTGGTTCATGGAGGAGTCAGGCTGCGGGTTCAATGCTGACCTCACCACTAAGTAGCTAAGTGAACTTACGAAGTTATTTACCATTTTGTGCCTCATTTCATGATCCTTCGGATGTGACAGCAGGGCGGCTATGCGGACTGTGTAACTGGTACATGTGGGCACTAGGAGAGTGTGTGCAGGAAGCACTGACAGATACTGTGGCCTGACCCTGCAGACTTGGCCCTTTCATGACAGGAACAGTCAGCTCTCTCCTAACCTTCCCTTTTTAAAAATCTTTGACATTTTTTTGTGGAGGGAAAGCAAGACCATCCTTGAATCTTCACTTCTCAGTCGGCCTCCATCGAAGACCCTGTTGAGACCCAGGAGAGGCCCAGCGAGGGCGGGGGCTGCATGCTGGGGTGTGGAGGCCAGAGGTACGCGAATTGAGGTGGGCTCAGTGCACACACAAACATTTCCGAAGATTTCTGAGCTAAATCCTCCTCCCGGCTGCCAGAGTCTATCATTAGACTCTGTAGCACATTAAATGAGTGAGCGCTGAACACAAAACCTTGGCGAGCACCTTGGCACTGGGACCACCCTTCTGGAGCAGGCCTGCAGGGGGTGCAGCAGCACACATGGGGGACCACGACACACCGGGGCCTCGGGTGCGGAAACAGACCCTCCGGACTCATCGTAGAGCGGGGCAAACAAAGAGCCGAAATAGTACTTTTTAAAAGGGAACCAGTGTTTCAGCTGTCAAGGCAAAGTGTTTCTTTGACTTGAAAGGAGAGAAACAAAAACTTGTTTTGGAATTATAATAAAATTTTTTTAAATAGAAAGTGTCTATAACAAGTCAAAGATTAGATGATAAGAAAGCTTACTTCATACAACTTATCCAACATTTTATGTAAGATATTGAAATAAAAATGGATGTGGTGAGAAATAGTTAAAAGAGCCCAATACCTTTCCATGACAAACATACTCAACACACTAGGAATAGACGGGAACTTCCTCCCTCTGACAAAGGGCGCGCATGAAAAACACAAGCTAACATCAAACTTAATGTTGAAACACGCGGTGCTTTCCCCTTAAGATCAGGAACAAGAGGAAGAAACTGGCCTTCACCACTTCTATTTAACATAGTACTGGAGGTTCCAGCCAGGGCTAGAAAGAAATAAAAGGCATCCATATCAGAAGGAAAGAAAACTGTTTCTATTCCCTGAGAACATAATCTTGCGTGTACTGGGTGGGGAGAACATAGGTTTACAGCTGTATGTGAAACACAGACTTAATAAAGCTATTATAGTAATTATAACCAGCATTAGTTTTCCCACAAAAACAACTATAAACTTAATTTTGCCCCACCCCTGTATATAAATCCTAGAGAATCCACTAAAATACTATTATAGGTAATGAATGAGTTGAGCAACTTTGCAGGATACAGAATCAATATGCAAAAATCATTTGTGTATCTGTGTTCTTTCCATGAACAATACCAGAATGAAATTAAGAAAACAATCCCACTCAAAAAAGCATTACAAATAATAAAATACTTAGTAATAAGTATTACCCAAGGAGGTAGAAGATTGGTACATAGAAAACTCCAAAATATTGCTGAAAGAAATTAAATAGAATCTAAATAAATGGAAAGACATCCCACGTTCATGAACTGAAAGACAATATAATTAAGACGGCACTACTCCTCAAAACAAGATACATATTCAGTGCAAGCTCTATCAAAATCTCAAAGACAATTTTTGCAGAAATGGATAAGCTGATTCTAAAATTCATATAAAATTGTAAGTGACCACAAAGTCAAGACAATCTTGAAAGAAAAAAAAGTTGGTGGCCTCACACTTTCTAATTTTATTTTTTTATTTTTTGTTTTACTTATTTATTTATTTTTTATTAATTAATTTTTGTCACAGATGTTTCTCCTTTTCCCCCACTGATTTCCCCCTCCCCCTCCCTCCCTGCCCTTTCCCCAGTTTGTCGTCCATGTCCACTGTTCATGCGTACATGCATATAAGTTCTGTGGTTTATCTCTTCCCCACCACCCCCCTATTTAGGGGATTGTCAGTCTGTATCCCACTTCTGCGTCTCTGGGACTACCCCCTTCCTCAGACTGTTATGTTCATTATATTCCACAAATAAGTGAGATCATATGAAACTTGTCTTTCTCTGTTTGGCTTGTTTCACTTAGGATGATACTTTCCAGGTCCCTCCATGTAGTCTCGATGTGGTACTGGCATAAAGATAGACATATAGAGCATTGAAATAGACTTGAGAGTCCAGAAACAAACTCACACATATTTGGTCAACTGATTCTGAACAAAGGTGTCAAGGCTATGCTGGAGAAAGAATATAGCCTCTTAAACAAATTATGCTACAACAACTGGTGCAGAAGAACAAAGTTGGACCCCTACCTCACACCATATACACAAATTAACTTGAAATGGATGAAATACCTAAATATAAAAACTATAAACACTTAGAAAAAAACACAGGGGTAAATCTTCATCATCTTTAATTTGAAAATGGACTATTTTATATGATATCTAAAACATAAACAAAAAAAGATACATTGAACTTTATCAAAATTAAAAGTATTCTGTGCATCAAAGGCCACAATCCAGAAAGTGAAAAGAAAACCTACAGAATGAGAGAAAATATTTGAAAATCATATATCTGATAAGGGTCTAGTATCCAGAAGATATTTAAAAATCTTACAATTCATCAACAGAAAAACAAATTACCGTTTCATTTAGTTTTTTTACAAATGGACAAAAAACTTAAACATTTCTCCAAAAAAGATATAAAAATGGTCAACAAACAAATAAAAAGATGCTCAACATCACTAGTCATCAATAAAATGCAAATCAAAAACATGAGATACCATTTCACACCCATTAGAATGGTTATAATAAAAAAGACAGGTAACAGTAAGAGTTGGTGAGGGTGTGAGAAACTGGAATGCTAATGCACTGCTGGTGGGAATATGAAATGATGCTGCTATTTTGGAAACAGGTTGGAAGTTCCTCCTATAGTTAAACACAGACTTACCATATAACCCACCAATCTCACTCTTCTGCACATACCGAAGAGAAATGAAAACATATGTCCATGTGAAACTTGTACGTAGATGCTTATAACAGCATCATTCATAACAGCAAAAAAGTGAAAATTATCTAAATGTCCATCAATTAGTGAAGGTATAAACAAAACATGTTATGTCCATGCATGAATATTATTTGGACATAAAAGGGAATGAAGACCCTGGTTGGTTTGGCTCAGAAGTTAGAGTGTCGGCCCGTGGGTTGATTCCGGTCAAGGGCATGTACCTGGGTTGCAGATTTGATCCCAGGGCCTAACTCTGGTTGGGGTCATGTGGGAG